GGCAGATAAAACATCACTGCCTGCCCACTAACGACTGGCTGATAGACCGTACATATCTAGAACAGAAGGGACGGGCGCTACCGTGGAGTAAGTCGTTCCACACCGTCTTTCCCTCCCGCAGAATCCCGGAAACCACAGAGCGTATATTCATGCAGCGTCCGAGAGCGATGCTTACATGGTCGTGGTGAGATAGAATTTGGACACGGTTAGCCACAAGCTCCAACTGGCCATGGGACTGGAGAGCCATATTATGCGAAACATGGTCCTCCCCCACTGGCAACACCTTTGAAAGCAATATGTTCAAGATAGGGAGGAGAGTTGTCATGTGGGCCCTCTGGAGAAAACGCTGTATCCTTGCAATAGAGAGGGTCTGCATAGCTGGAGAGGAAGTAACAGACATGATAAAACAGTTTATCCAATAAGAACTCAGGGTACAGTGGCAAAATGTTAAAAACCAACTTGATTTGTTTCATGCATACAAAGACATAACACAAGCAGTTCAGTAATTTTCAGGGGATTCGTTAGGCAGTGAGAATGGGGGCTGGATCGCATTCGTTCGATGGGACGGTGAACCTGCCCAGGAATGCAACCAGGACGAGTTCAGGAGATACTACTTTATCAACTTCAGAGACTGGGCCACGGTGGGACAGAAGATCTCGCTTCGACCATCCACAAATTTTCATGACCCATTCCACCCCACCAGCTTGCAATGGTGAAATTCTTGTCTACACTTATCAGTCTTGGAAAAACCAATATTACAGTGGAACCACTTATCTCTGATATAATAAAAATACGATATGCAATGGTACGGTGCAGAGTGAGCAAGGCCCTCAGGCAACAGTACATGGAAGGCATCAGCGGAAGTAGCCGTTGGGGAAACATGTGTGATCTGGCGGTCTAATGGAGACTGAAGAGGCGGTGGTATGAAGGACTTCCAATTGCTAACCTTGCACAGTTAATCCCCCGGAAACATGGCAATCAATGCTGGCAGGTTGTCGGAGGTACGGAGCGCCTGGGTAGAGTCAAAGATAAGGGGAGGGAGGAACTAGTGTGTAGCAGCAGGTATCTGGCACCGGGTTCAGGGCGAAGAGGTTCCCCCCC